GTTCCGCTCAGAGGCACCTTGCCAATGTTTCTAATGACTTCTTCCCAGCCAGAGCTCTGAGGTATTACCCCACCTTCAACATGCCAGCAAAGTTCAACACGCTGGGCTTCAAATGCCTTTGGAAAACTTTGACTTTGATGACTCGCTTTGCTCCTAGACTTCCTCCTAACTCTCTAGGTACGCCTTCAGCCTGCCTGTTTTCAGTCTCCCCCCTTTTTCCATCTTTGCTCTAGCTAATCCCATCCAAATCCACAATTTTGGCATGCAATGCTGATTCACATGCTACCTTTCCTTCTATGTTTCCTTCTGTTCTAGCTGGAAAGCTGGTGTGTCTTGGCGACCTCTTCTTAAGTGCTTTCAGCTATCAGCTCAATTCCTTATATATCACTCTCTCATCTCTTCTTTCTAGTGAACAAATTCATCACTCAAATGACAGTAACACCATAAACTTGTCATGTTTTTAACTTTACACCCTCCAGCTCTTCATCACCATTTTGCACAAAATCTTTCCAGTTTTTCTTGTGTAATGCCTCTATGATTCAGCTTTTCCTACTTATTCACTCACTGATCTCTCTCCAAGACTTCATTATCTCATATCTTGATAAACACCTCAATTAATGTAATATCCATCTATTTTTATACATTCAAATTCTTTCCACAAGACAATTTTTGTGATTGCTTGCACTGGCCATTTTATCTGCTTTTTGCCTTCCCTCACTGATTCCTCCTCAGACATGTGGTCCAAAGAGGTCCTGACCCATTGAAGAGATCCCTGTACCCTACACCAATTAAAAACAACTCCACAAACCAAAAACCTTAAAAAATATATTGTTGAACAGGTGGCAACATTATTACAAAAACATAAACATATATGGGAGAAGTAAACAGTGAGGCAACTGAAGAGTTTCATCAAGCCTAGGGAAAGCAACAGATAAGACAAAGGAAATAATGACTACTACACAGACACTTATGTCAGGCTGTGTAGAGATCAAACACTGGAAGACCTGTGAAATAGAAAATACACGTGCACTGAACCCCTTTCTGAGCGCTGCCGTATAAGTAAACATCAATCCTTTGTTTTCTAAAGGCAGTTAGAATTGAGGTATGGCCAGAACAAGAACTACTATAACAAGTACAAGTTTTGTAAATAAAATCAAAATAATTACAGATTTAATTGTGGCAGACTTGGGCACAATAGGATTGACAGTGGGAACTCAACAATGTGTCTATCAACAGAGCAATGTGCAGCACTGAGCAGTGTTCACGGGGACCTCAACCCCACAAACCTCCCAGGGATGGATTTTTGCCTGGATTCAGACAGACCCCCAAACCATCTGTAGGGATCTGCCCCACAGATGGTAGCCAAGACTGCATATATTAAACTCTTAAAGGCCCCATAAAAGAAAAACATTGTTGTTAACAAGACTCTTTCCACTGATTTGAATGGGCTTTGGATAGAGGCCTAAAAAAACAAGGATGGAATTAGAAAATGGAAATATGTATATACAGAAATGTGTCAGTCCAACTGTTTACCTTCCATGGATGACCTAGTACCACTTCATTTATGAGTCATTTAAAGGGCAAGGAGCTAGGTTGGTATTTTAACTGTTATCTGAATCAAGTATTTGAAAATACTGATTCTAATAATGCTTTTTTTATTAGTAGTATTATTTTTAAAATACACTGCAACCCCACTGGCATCAACAAGATTTCTTTCCACGTTAATATTTCACAGATTGAAAATATCTATATTCTCACCACCTTCAGGAATTAGCTTAAATAAATAGGGTCCGTGTCATCTGTTATGTGCCGTGTCCTTCAGGCTGCTATGTTTGATTTCAGCTTTGATTCAAAGTTAGGGCTGATCAGTACCAGCTGCTCAGCCAAAGGGCAGATCACACATTCCTGTTCCTCTGCTTTCTTCATCCCAGCTCGCAGCCAGACTATTGTTTGTTACAACTAATTAATCCCGCATGCCCCAGCTGCCAGTGATCCTCACAAAACTCAAATTTTTGTATTTACTTCATGTCCAATAAATTAAATTCAATTCTGGATATGTGTATAAACACATAAATGTATGCATATATACACAACACACTTATTTACACAGTCAGATTTATAGATATTCATGGATATGTCTTTGGCAACCTCTATTATTATTTCTAGTTGTCGTTTTAACAGGACAAATGTGAGAAATTATAGGTATGTATTTTTATTTAAGCATGTCTGTAAGGAGTCAGATTTTCAGATCTTCACTTCAAACTGATCCCCACTGACATGTTGACATGGCACTAAGCATCGGAGTCACTGCACTGGCGGGACCAAGTCCTTGCCTGCCTTTTGGAGAGGAGAAAGGAGAAATTTCAAATTTTATAGCCAGAACTTTTAACAGTCTGAAGTTAAAATTGCCTGACACTTCCTGCCAAAAACCTCCTGGTTTCACCTACCTGTTTAACAAATGATAACCATTCTTTTTGCTGGGTGTTTGTCTTAAGGCTTATTATGTGTTTTTCAGTTAAAATATTTCAGCTGCTCCCAAGGAAATACACTGCATTTTCCCATATTAAAGTCTAACAGCCAGTTTGCTGAGTTCCTGTCAAGCCTCCATGCGCTGGGGCAAGGAGCGAAAGTTTGGTGGAAGGAATCTGTGGTTTGTTGTCCTTCTAGTTATTTTTTTAAAAGCTCATAAGCTTTAAAACCTCTTATTGCACATGGCTGGTGAAAGCTTGGAAATTGGTAGCTCAGCTGTGTCAAAAGAGTGTGTGCCTGCTTTGAAAGGAGGGGCTGAACTACTTCCAGCTGCTTTTGATGGTGCATCACAAGTGTCTCCTGTGCTCCCCTTGGCCTTGTGCTTGGCCATGCTGAGGAAGAGGAGGAAGCAGCTGAGGAAGGACGTTACCTGACTGCAGAAATAAAATGACTCCCTGGACTCAGAGACAGGTAGAGTGGAAAGTACAAAGAAATAAATTAGAAGAGAAAACTTTCAAAAGTCAATTGGTTGGCACACAACGGGGTGTTTTCTGGAGAAGGTTTGAGGAGGTCTTTTTTTTTTCTTCTTTCTAATTCCATAATTACCTGTGTCAAAAAAATAATGTAATTCAATTTGTAAAATCAAACTTTCTTAGGGAAATCACCAAATTCAAACTATCTATAAGACCTCAGTGTGCTCCCCTGGTAGGTCAGCAGTTTAATATAGTTTGAATTTTCTACTGCTGTGTCTACAGTGAATAAACCAAAGCAAGTTTGGAAGGGATGAGTGTTGCACAACAACTAAGGTAGTTACTGGTATGGCTGAAGGCTTCTCTGAACCTTTAAGGTGTTCAGTGCAGCAGCTGGGAAACAAGAAAGATGCCTGTTTGTAAAGATGAATGAACGTTGCCCTCACAGGTTGGATGCTATCCTCATCGCTGTCATGTCTGGTGGAGTATGTGCGAAGCCATGGCGCTGCGGAAATTGGGAAAACACCAACAGAAAAGGTGAAAGCAGAGCTGAACTTCAGAACATCTCACTACAGGCTCGAAATCTGTGTTGTCTCCACCACAGAGAAGAAGGAAAAGCCTGGTACCTAATTAGGTAGCCTTAAAATCCACAGGTTGCCCATGGTTAGATAATAACCTTAGTAAGCCAGTACTTGAGATGGTCCAGGCAATATCACCTGCTAGAGAGGCTGCTGCTGAGGTGCTGGTCCCTGAGGGACCCACAAGCACAGATGTCTTGTGTCTCTGCTCCCCTGGACAAGGTATATTTGCTGTCATCCTTGGCTTCTGCCTTGAGTTACACTGGCAATCCAAACCGCCTGCCCCACAAACTGTTTTCCAGATTTCAGAAATTATATTTTCTTATCACTATTTATTATTATTATAAAAGCTTGTATCTTTTCTAATAAAAGGCTAATTAATTTGTTAGTGTTAACATTACATTGAAAATATTTTGTTTACTATCTGTAACTAGGGATCTAGTAAACTAGCTGTTTACTAGTTGTAACTGGGAAAAAAGTTAAAGCCACTCTACAACCCTTGATCCTCTGTTTTGTTGCACTGCATGCATTAATGGCTCCAAATTGAAAACTTTGTGCCATATGCTCCAGCTGTTAACATTAAAAATTTCCTTCTGAAGTAAAGGGGAGTTCAGCTGTAGGGGAGTGGGATTTGGCCCCAAATTCGACAACTCTAAAGTTCATAATCCAAACTCACTCTTAAAAGTGTCCCAAACCAGTAAAGTACCTACCCTATATTCAAGAATCACAGAAAGAAATTTCTCTTCTTTGAGGGTGGTGCAATTAGCTCTTAATGGGAACAACTGAATGATAAAAGCTGATCAAGTTTCTGCAAACTTTAATAATTGCATATTTTCATCCAATTAAATGCAGAAAATAAAAGATGGAAATAAAGATGACCTTTTTTATTATAAGGCATTTTTGTTGTTGTTTAATTTCTTTATTTTACAGGTCAATAACTAAATTAGCTTGTTATGGCTTGGTCTTTTATAGGAAGATCTTTGTTTACCTATCTTCCTCTGGAGGGCTTTAAAGTGAAATCTCAAAGAAATTCACAGGTTTATATGTAAAATTAATTCAGGAACCTCTTTTAGATTAAAATGACAAGGGATAAAATAAGGTGTCATCATATACAGTCAGCTTTTATTACAGAATCTTTCTCTCTTATTTTGCTTTTAGAACAGCAGCTTTAACAACAAGGCATTTATCAAGTGTTACTAAGAAGGAAGAGTCCATATATTAAATAGAGTGCAGCCTAATTAATACTTTATCACTCTCAAATCTCTTTACTTGATGAAGAAAGGGTTAAAAAGCCTATAAAAGTTCTGTAGGTATGTTCTGTGGGACATTAAAAATGAATGTGTTGTCATCATCATCACCATGAGCACATTTATTGTTATTATTACCAAGACAGCCATTAACTGGGTATTCATTAACGCTAAAAGTCACAGTCAGCATGAGATTCAGCAGACTCCAAGCTCTGGAGGAGGAGGTGGAAAGTTACCTGGTGGAGTTTCAAGAATGGATTTTCCTTTTTTGTTGTTTTTCTTCGGTTTTAACTCTTTCCTGCTCGGTTTGAACCCTGGGTGCTCCTCTGTCTCTGCAGCACGGATAGGTCCTTCCTCTCCAGGTTGCTCCGTGAAAGGAAAAAACTCTTCACTGGGATACGGAAAGGAATAATAATGATCCCTGTTGCTAATTTCCTGCAGGTAATAATCCTGATCGTCCATGGGTGCAGCCCGGGACACATCCCCCAGCAATGCCAGCCCAAAGGCGCAGAGAGCAAGGCAGAGCTGAGAGGAACATGAGCCTTTCCTGCTAAGGGCAATAATCATTATCGTTCGCTTTTGCAGAAATCTCCTCTGCAAGTCGCAGAACTTTATTTGCAAACAGAGAAAACAGAGATCCTTGGCAGCTGGCGAACTCTCCCCGGGAGACGCAGAGGGCTAAAGGAGCCTGCCTGCGAAAAGCGCCTCCGCTTTGGGCTAGTTTCACAAAAGTTGCGAGGAGCGCAGCGGGACGGAGGGGGCCGGGCGGGGATGCATGTGATCGTCGGGCTCACCAGCCAGACAGACAGACGGACAAGCGCTCTGCTCCGCCGGCGTTTGGCAGGTGGGATCTCCAGTGCGGTTAGTTTGCAGCTTTTCCTTTTTATTTTTTGTTTTTGTTTTTGTTTTTTTGTTTTTTTTTTTGTTTGTTTGTTTTGTTTTGTTTTTGTTTTGTTGGGGTTTTTTTTTGTTTTGTTTTTTTTTTTTTTTTTGTTTTGTTTTGTTTTTTTTTTGTTTGTTATTGTTGTTGCCACTTCCTTTCAAAATCAGAGTTACAAGGACAGTTTCAGCTCAAACCCCTAAAAGTTTCTTCAGTCTTCCCGCATGCAGCTGATCCAAGAGAGCATTTATTCAAAGAAAAGTAAACTTGGCAGCCAGCCTTTGCCTCCCAGCCTGTGTACAAAAGTGTTTCCCTCCCCCAGGAGATGCTGTGCAGATGGGGGTGGGCACAGAGAGCGGCTGGCAGACTGCATCTGCCTGTGCTTTGACCCTGGGCAAACATGAAGAGACGTGTAATGTGGGTCTGTGGCAAAAAGCCCTCGTTCCATATATGTTGTACTATATTCCCTTTCATTTTTTTTTTTTTTTTTCCTTTTAGGTTTTACAAATGTAGGATCCATCTCCAGCACGGATCTCAGCCTTCCTTGTATATATTAGTTTATAGAAATATAAAAATATAAGTTAGATACAAGTTAAATATAAGTTAGATATAGTTTAGATATGTTACATATAGATATAGCTTATATATATATATGCTGTATATATGCTATATATATTTCTATACATAAGTTATATATAACTAATATAACTCAACACGCAGCATGTGCCAATTTATAAGAGGCTTCTCTTGGGGTATATGGGAGGTCCCTGGACTCAGCCCAGCTGAAAACCAGGAAGGACATGTTTCATCAGTGTCCCTTTTTCTCACTCTTTTTGGAGTTATCCTGACTTTTGTTCTCTCTGAAACATCTTCTAAACAGATTAGGATGTGTTGTGCTAGCAGCTGCACACATGCAATCCAGTGTCTTTAATGGAATCAATTTGTCTGAGAATAAAAACTTATCTTTCATCTTTTTCATACCTCTAAAATAACCTTCAGTGCTGAAGGAAATGTGCAGCAGTTGGCTCACATGAAATATGAGCCCTTACTCCCGTGTTGAAAATACCAGCTTATATTTTCATCACGTATATTGTATTTCTTGCCATTGTTCACTCAGCTAAGCGAAAGGATTACATCTGTTACCCCACTCTTTATTCTGACTTTACAACCATATTTTGTGTGTGTTCCTCATAACTTTAATACCATCATAAACATAAGTCCATATCTCAGTACCTATATCATCTGGTATGTTTGGTTTCTAGTCCATGTAATTAATGTTCATCCTTGCTTTCTTAGTCACTGTCCCAAAAGCAGTATAGTTATTATATTGTGTTTGTTGTCCTTCCTTTTAGACAAATGAAAATATGGTTTTACTAGCAATTCTATTTTCATCCTTCAGTTTTACTTCTTTTTAAAATCTGAAATCTATGACTTATTGCTATTTTAAATATAAGGATTTTCATTTTCTAACAGTAGAATAAAATATACTTTGTTTTTCACTACTTTACTGAACTATATATATGTATTTTTTTTTAGTTACATCTGATGAAGAACTGCTTCCTATCATACTTTTCAGATAGTTTTATCTGGAATAGATGGCTTTGTCGCCTTTGGTGCAGGGTATGCAGTGTGGGAGCTAAGACCCGATGGATATGGTATGTAAAACAGGCTGCTTGTTCTCTGTATTCAGTGGCAGGCGGAATATGCTGGATATCCCATCTTAGCAGTTTCCCAGATGTTCTTACTTTGTTTTCCCTTTCCAAAGTATCCAGTCCTCTCCTCCCTTGATCTTAACTTTTGAGGGCAGAGCACAAGCTACAGAAAATGTGTATAATTTTGTGACCATTTGTAGCACAGTCACTTTTTTGCAAATAATGTGGACATACCTAGAGAAGTAATAGGAAAATAGACTTTTCCATGACATCATTAATGACCTAATTTTTTTGGTAAGTAAAGGAATTTTAGCTGCAAATTATTATTTAACTCATTGCAGTGGCTAGAAACAGAAGAGGATTTACATTTCCAAGCATAACAAGAAGTATTTTCATAAAATTTGGAGTCAAGTGTACATTCATTAAAGACCTGAGGAATGTAATTCAGGAGTATTTTACATTATTTGCTTTTGGCAACTTTACATGTGTACATTTCAATAATGTATGCATGCAAGCATCATGTATTTTCTCTCCCATATAATGCCCTTTCTATAAAGAAACAACTGTGTGGGCTTTTTTTTTAATTTATCCTACATTATAGCAGCCTGTCATATTGGATTTGGGCCTCTTTAATAGGTGGATATGCATATATATATATATGTAGATGCATGGCTATACCTGCACATAATATAGAAGCAAAAATCTTCTGAGAATATCAGACCTGTACTTATTTAATGCATGTAAAAATAGACATTTAAGTGACACGAATATCCACTCAAATGTTACCCAGATCACCCATCACAATACTTTATTAGCCATGTATCCAACAACTCACTGCTGCGTGTTGTTGTTCAAGTGAGGAGTTGGCGGTAAAATCAGGGTCCAAACCATGTGCCAGCTGTGTTTCACCTCACTCTTTCATCTCGCCCCTAACAATTTCTGAATTTGCTGGCAGATTACAAGCAAATGCAACCGAGCGGTGAAGATCCCAGGGAAGTTTCCACGCGTTGCAGTTAGCCGAGAGTCCCTGCAAGGGCCTCCTCACCGAGCGAGCTGAGGTGAAAGGCCACCACGTGAGCTCGCACGTTGCTGGCAAGAGGAGAAGCGGTGCCTGAGGGTGGCTCGGGGGACACCTGAGCCGGAGAATGAGCTCGGGGAGCAAACCTGCGGCCAGCCACGGGGAGGTACCCGGCAGGAACCCAGCGAGGGGCTCGAGGGGCGGCAGGTTTGCTCGCAGCGAGAGCTCTGCAGAACTTCAGGCAGTGCCATACCCACCCATTCACCTCCTACCATCTCCACAAAGAACTCTCTTTTTTTTTTTTTTTTTTTCCACGTTATTCACCCAAACATACCTACCAGTATTCCCGTGTCTCGATCTGTGTCGGTAACCAGCTCCCCCATATTTCTTTCTCTTGAATCTGAATCCTTTCTGGCGGTATGGGTATGGATGCACTGCTGCTCCTTCCCAACCCACCTCTGGATTTGGGGTGTGCATGCGTTCAGCCAGCTGGAACCGCACAAAAGTCTGTCCCTAGGCAGAATTTTGGTCTTCCTCACTGTAAGATGTTTTAACCATTTTTTCCTCTCTGTCAACATCCTAGCAACATGCAACTTACAGGAAAGGAGATGGATTTTCTTCTTAGAGTGGCACGGGAGTATTAAGTTCACTGAAGGCTCAGATGTTATTGGCTTAATGGCTGTTTCTTATTTTTGCCTGTGAAGTATCACAATAGCTTTTAAAAACTGGCAGTCGATGTGGAAGGAGATAAAGCAAACTAATATTTCTGTAGAACAACTGAAACTAGCATTATCCTCCCCTCCTGGACTGACGCCAGCGATAATGTGTAAGTCACTCTACACTTTCCTTTAAATCTTTGGCCTGCTGAAGTGAAACACATGCTGTTATCTGCAAACGAATGGGGCTTTCCCCCTCTGTTCCCAAGTATTTATTTGAAAGTTGATGATTCACCCTCTAAGCTGAGTTAACACTTCTCAAGCCGTGTTTATTGAGCCAGTTTCAACAACAGCCCCGGAAAAATAGGTTCTCCCAGCTCCTCCCTTGCCCCTAGCCTTAGACAAAAAATTATCTTTAGCTTGGGCAGTCTCAGTGTCTGCCCCAACCTGGAGATGCTCCAGTTCCAGCAGCAGGAGGACATCTGAGAGCCACCCTTTCCTGCCCTTCTTACGCCTCGAGATGGTGTTTCCCAGCTCTTGTTTCACATATACTATTTTGACAATATATGGCTTTAGCTGAACCAGTGTTTGTATTTAGGAGAACTGGGCTCTACGTGTCATGCTCCTCTGCTCCCACCCCTGCAGCCTTGTTTCTCCCTGTCTGGTGGCTAACAACCATAACTTCATGAAGCCCACATTCAGGAATACATTTTTACTGAAGAGAGGTAGAGTTGTATTGTGTAAGCGCTGTCTTGGTTCACGATCTTCAGTTGTATTTATAATACACAATCAATGATGACGCCTTTATACTTAATTCAGCTTCAAAGTGCTTGGTGACTCCTGCAACTTCTTCTTTGGAACATATACATCTTTTTTTAATTGAAGAAAAGCTTTGAGGTTGGAAAGAAAAGATGAAGAAATAGGCCTCCCTGTTTCACTACCATTCCACGGTAACTTTCTGAGGTAGCACATAAGGTTTCTATATGTCTTGGCAACAAAGCAACACTAAAAATAACTTTCCTTCTGAACACCAGTAAAGTTTCTGTTCCTTTGTACTTCAGATCGGTAGTAAATCATGGAGCACAGAATGGAGCAAGAAAGTAGAATTACACTTTTTAAACAGTCGTGTTTTCTGCATAAAGCATTTAGCCCTGTTGTCAACAAGGTCAAACCATCTCAGAGGAAATGGAAACCTAAAACTGACATTGAGAAATACAAAGTAAACTGCATTTAACATTTGTGTGTCTCTTAGATGCCTGTTTCTTACATATGTAACAGAGACAGATGCTATCTAGCTGTCCTTCTGCTTACCTGCGTACACTGCGTGCACCCCTGGGGTATCCAGGCATTTAAAAGCTTATTTGCACTTGTTGGTAAAGCAGATCCTTGAAAGAGTGGCTTTTACTGCAAAAATGACTGGAAGCAAAAACAAACTCTCGTGTGGAGACATTTTTCTCATTTTTATGAAGAGGCATTTGGCTTAAAAGGGGATGTCTTTATTTTACCAGGTGAGGTATGTCAAAAATAAGCAGGATCTTAACATTTGTCTCTGAGCACATCAAATAATGATAAATAATATGAGTGAGTCTAAGGAACAGCCAGTTATGCTCCCCTCCCTCTTGAATAGCTTGCTGTTTCCTTTAGGAAAACAGATTTTAAAATAAGCAGATGACATTAATGAAGGCAATTATTTCCTTTAGCAATTGCTTATTTTAACTGGTTACAAATGCAGCATGCATCCTGACTGGGGAAATTAGCCCAGTGTATTCTCTCTAACTTTTCTCATATGAACAACATGACCTTCGGATAATCATTCAGCATATTGCCTTTGTGCTTGTGTCTGAAGAAGCAGCTCAGATTGCCATGGAAACAAAAGTTCCTTGTTCTCTTACACTTCCTTGTGCTATGATATCATTTTCACTATACAAAGCCTTTTCTTAGCAAGAAATAGAATTGTGGTATTTTCGTGTTTCGAGCATCCCAAAGTCATCCTCTTAGGCGATGGCTCAGTTAATGGCAGAAATGTTTTGAATGTGGAGCAGAGACTGCACCCATCGTCATTATTATTTGGCGATATTTAGATCAGATGCATCTGCATCAGACCATTTTTCCTGGAGAAATTAAAAATCTCTATGTACCCTTTTCCAGAGTTTTCTTTACTTTTTCCTTCTGTGCTGAGCAGAGGAAAAGAAACAGCATTTTAAGAAAGACAATGTTAACCAGTGGTATAAACAAAGCAAAAAGAATTTTTGGCATTTTTGCAAAGAATGTAGCAGGGATTTTTTTGGTTGTGGTTTTTTTTTTGTTTGTTTGTTTGTTTGTTTGTTTTGGTTTGGTTTGGGTTTTTTTAAAGATGGGAACTACATTTCTTCATGCCCCAGAATGTCCATAGATTTTATGTTGACAACACATTGCCCTGGCATTTGGCAGCCACTGCTGGATCAAAGCCAGCAGGATTATCACTAGGAAAAGGACTGAAGAAGCTGCCTTGTGATTAAAAAATCTGTAATTCTAGCAGTACAAAAAGCAGAACTAATAATATTTTTTTTCTGACACTATTTATTTTTGGTTATCAGCATTTGAAAGTCTCTAAGTCTGCATTAGTCAATGGTTTAGAGTTTTTTGCATTGTTTAAAAACGGGTAAATTTTATATGCATTTTATTTTAACTGTAAGGCTGAGCCAGCATTAAGACAACAGAGATGACTGGATGAGAGTAGTTTTATGGAACAGTTGGAGAAAATGGGTCAAAATGCCCCTGCTATGCACCCAGCCAGGCTGTGGGTGATGTGCGGCTGGAACGTACTTTTCAGTTTACTTGTATGAAAACAGCCACTTCCCGCAAATTCCCATGGCCATCACCTACCTGCCAACATTGGAATTTGAAAAAGTAATGACTCTCACATTTCAGTCTGGTATTTCCTGGACCAAAATTGCTGTACTTGTGCCATGTGGAGTGTGAGCAGTATGTTTAACACATCCCAGGCAGCAGCAGGGAAATGCAATGCAGAGTTTGTCTGAAACCTACTCAAAGATCCTTTTTCCTGGGATTTCGTCAGTATCCACAACATAAGTGTAGTTTGAGAAGTCATGGACAAATGTCTGATGGAAGCTGAAGATGATACATAAATGTAGCAGCCTTTGTCATGCTAAATGAAAGCTGGCAAATGCAATGTCATCAGAAGGTAGTCCTTAAAATTTCTGTATTTAATGATTGCATTTTAAAGAAAGAACAACAAGGAATTATTCCTTTCAGATACAAGTAGTATTCAGGGCTGTGATTCATTTGGGTGAATAAATACATAATGTGATACATCTATATAACTATGTCTCTGCGTAGCTTCTGTCCAAATCCAAATATATTAAATGTAATTTAGTGAAGTTTCATTATTTATAGCCAATGTATTTGTTTGAAGGTGGGAAGAGCTTATTTTGTTTATCTTCATAATCACATATTTCTGACAATATGCCGAAAGTACCTTCCATAATGCGTTCACTTATGAAAACAGTGAAATGCAAGAATTTATGGGAAAGAAAAGCTCTGAAATGAGTTTTCACTTGTCATACAGAAGGCATCAAAGATTCATGTCAGACTTACAACACTGGATATGCCAATATAATTTAACAGCTGTGTAATAAACTTGTTTGAACTTGACTTATAGCCATTAAAAAAGGGCTTGTGCCAGCATGTTGGATAAAGCTGTTTGAAATGTGAAGTCTTAGGCTCTAAAGATGCAGTGAAGCTTTAAGACTATGCAGATGTTTACTAATATGTGGCATAACATAAAGTTCCAGAGAATTTTCTGCCATCTCAAATCACAAGTGCCCAGCTATTTGAAATGCACTAATACATTTTTCTGCATAGGCCCTTGGCACTAATTCTGCCAAGGAAGTGGGATGGTGAAAATTGCCTTGCATTTTTAAATCTATCGTAAGTATTTTGTTTCCAAAAATCATAGAATACCTTAAGTTGAAAATAACCTTTGGGAGACCAGCATCTCCCTTTTTAATTCCCTTTTAATCTGTAAGATCTCTAAAACAGGGGTTATTTCTCACAGTGTGGTTGTATATCCCATTCACTAATGGGATCAACACTGTTAGAGATATCATTTACTTCAACAGAGTTCTATCATAAAGAGTATCATTAACATTTGGGTTACTGAATTTGAGTTTTGAAAATAGTGAAACTTAGCCAAATACACCCCATAATGCAGTTCAAATTGGTTTTGCTTGCTTCGTACTGGTTATAGAAAACACAGTCCAAGTAAAATACTTTGACTTCACTTGACGCCAGATAAACTTGTCAGCTGAGGAGGGAGTAATTTCCAGAAACATCCATCAGGACTTAAACGGCTTATCTCAGAAATAATGATAATAACAAGAATAATAATATTTTTTTAAAGGAAATCACTTGTGACTAATAGTAAAAAGAACTGCTGCCTCCTTTGCAGTAGTATCCAGGCAAGCGAGTTTCTTTTTTCTTTGTTACTGCTATAACTGGATTGATAATAAAATTGGTACAAAGTGATTTCAAAATTCTCCTGGCATTTTTAAGGATGCTGTTATGTGAAGTTATTGCTTGTGACCATCTCTTCCTCTCCTGCCTGTGGTCCCTACACATTTGCCTTGGGATGGGCCTCCTCTTGTTTGTCCATGAAGTTGGGTGGCGTTGACCACAGCGCATCAGGGGAGAGCCTGAGCCCAGAGCAAGGACCATGTTGCTTCTCCAGCTGGAGAGTCATTATACAGTCAAGCAGGGTCCCCGATTCTTCAGTGTCACCTTCCCAGATTTTAATACAAATATTGCTACTGAGACCTGCCTTCGCACTTGTGACTGTGTTCTGCTTCATTGCTCCTTTCTGCTGCTTCTGTGACCACAGTTTCAGGGCTCCATTTCATGGCAAATCTCAGATTTGCAGTAGTTCTGGAATGAGATCAGAAGACCTCCTGCAAGGCTGGCAACCCAAGGAACGGGTCATCTGCAGACCAGAGCCTTGAGGTTGGTCTGATATTTATGTAGGTGTAACACTGCACCATAATTATCTTTCTCATCTAGTTTCACAGGTGACTTGAAGCCATATTAAATATGATGCTTCTTCTGAATATAAATAAGCATTTTCAAATGCATTCCTCATCTGTATTTTATTCACTTTGGACAAAATCCTGGCAGAAGCCCACAAGAGGCTCCAGATCATTTGCAGGGAACATTACCGAAGGCTTCTTTGCCAGCAAATGAGGAAAAATGAAAACTTAGCTCCTCTCTCTCCAGAGAACTCCATCATGCACTCACATATTTTGATTATTTAATGCTGAGTGACAGCTTTAAGTTTTCAGGGTACTTTACTTGTATTTGAAATGAGACTACAGTCATATGAGGTCAGGATGTTTTATAAATTGTAGAAGTCACTTGCAAACACTCGTCTGAAAACAGTGATTATATAAAAATGTCACACCCTTCCTATACATCTGGACTATCTCCAACAAATTAAAACTGCCAAGGGTGTTACAGAAGCTTCATTTTTCCATCCTTACTCCCTCAAGCCCCATGGAAGATAATTTATTTAGTGGGGTCTTTGGAAATGCCTGTCTCATTGTGTTGCACTGTCATCAAGCTGTCTGTCCTCTTGTCTTCCCAGATGTCTGTCCATCTGAAGAGCCCTCATCACTAGTGATGTTGGAATCCCTGATGGACTTCATTTGAACTGAACGGAAAAATCAAGATGACAAATAAATTCCCTTCACATGGTATGAGAATTGGCTGAATAGTGAAAGCACAGCCAAATTAATAACCCCAGAGATGGAAAACTGCACTGTGAATTTAACGGTTTTCTGTTCTGTTTAGCTAGCTGATTTCTCAACATACGGATAGCTTTAGACCAACCCAAGCACATGAATCCCCTTGCCAAGGCAGAAATTTGGGGGTGTGGAAGAGAGCCAAAATTGCTCAGTCAGGACAGGGGAGCAGGAGATATGAAGAAAAACTGAACTCATCATGATGAGCAGCCGTAGGCATCAAGTCATTAGAGAAGAGCCATGTACAAAACATAGAATGGAGATCCAGAAGAAATTATGCTCAGTGTCCTTCCTGCCTGCACATGCTACCTGTGCCTCAAGTTCCCCCAGGACACTTGCTGCAAGCTTAAGATTTGTTTGTTTGTTTATTTGTTTTTTAATTTCTACATCAGCCTTCCTTTTCCCAAAGGCTGAAAAGGTCTTCCAGTCTCTCTGCCCCTGATCAAAATATTGTGTCATAGGTCTTCCCAGGAGAAAATGCACCATTTGTAGAGCTGAGGTACTGCTGCTCTCTTCAAGTGGAAGACAACAGTGGTCCAAAGCTGCCATTTCTGCACCAACATCTCTGGTGTATGATTTCCACACCCCTCACAAGGCTAACAGGCAAAGGAGGAGGGCAGTCTGCCGAAAGCTCTTCCTGACTGAGCTTCCAGACATGTAGGCAGCACATCACCAAACGGAAGGGAGTTTTATAGGCATATTCAATTTAAATCACATATATTCGTCTTAAGTGCAGAGGAAAAAGGAAACTTCACTCACAATACCTGCCTTACCAATGAAGTTGCCATATGTGGAATTCAGGTTGCAGCTAAGAACTTCTGGGCTTTTTAACAACTGTGAGTATACATCATGGTTGGTTTCATAAACTAAAATGAATACAGTCTTTGACAGCAGATTATCTTCCCTGAATTTTTACTATGAGCCAAGCTGTCTTTAAAAGTCACTTCTTTCTTTTTTCTGAGTTGCAATTTGTTTGGTTCTTGATTCAGCAGGTGCTTTGCTTCAAGACCTTGGTAAGAACCATTTGAGCAGGGTGGGAAAATCCTTCCCAATCCTGAGTTACTTGGAAGCCTGTGAACATGGGCGAAGGGCTCTGAACCATGAGAAGGAGGAAAAGAATGCTCAGGTAGACATGAAGCTCATCGGTGGTCATCTCCCTCCCATGCCTGTACTCCTCCTTGTGTGTCCCATCAATTCACCACAGGGTAATGTTAGTTATTCAAGACACTCAAGAATCCACTCAAACAAACCGAGGGATTTCCAAGTGTCATATTTTCAGATGTGAAATGCTCCATGTCATGAGCCTTCCCATATCCACAAACATCTACTGCCTCCAGGGCTGCACGGTGAACTGTGTCTAAGGGAAGAGGGGTATAATATGCCTAGAAAGTTTTCTTCTGTTGTATCAGATGTATCTTCACCTTGGTAGTGGAAAGCTAGCTTTAAAAGGTCGGGTCAGCTGGAGGATCACTTATAGCTACTTTCTACATGGCTTGCTTCTAACTGTGATCCATCATGCATATCAGACTAATGGATTACAGTGCAGCAACTTTAGCTTCATCTTCCTTTATCTTGGAAAATCTGGGTAACAGTATTAAGTGTATTTTTCCATAAATAATTTGTATGAGGAGGCCAACCTTGTAATTGCAATGGAAAATATTTGTTTTTTGTTATTTCTCCCAATCATGTGTAAATTCCTCCTGCCTACTTGACTAAGACTGTCACGAAAGAAAAAATACTTAAAAGGCAATGTTGAAAATACTCTGTGAAACACCAGAAGCTTAAAACAAAACAGTAGGGTAGGGAAAGCCAAAGCAAGACAAAGTAAATTCCAGACAGCCAGCCAAATTCCACAGATAATCATTAATCTGGAAAAAAATCCTTGCAATTTCTAAGACTATTGGAAGCGGATGTTGGTTGCTGCTGGTTTAAACTCTCCAGTGTTTAAATACTTACTTCTGCATAAATAACATTGCCATTGCTCATCTACCACAGCGACAGCAGGAGAGGTGAATCACGTGCGCTGGTTCGGACACAAACCTCATCCCGCCCATGACCTGCCACGAATGCGAAGTCCGCCGGCTGCAAACCGTGTGCAAACATCACTCCCAGCTCTAATTTTCAACAATTTTCTTTTCAAAAAGCCCTAATGAGATGGTGTTTACAGAGCCCTTCTTGTGCGTGTCAGGGGTGCCGGGGAGCCTGGCAGCTGGTGGTGCAGCCCAGCCCCACGGCTCCGGGGTGCGCAGCCAGATCTGGGCTCCATCGGGCCAAAAAAACTTTCTTCAGGCCACATCAATTAACAATCCCCTGCATTTCTATCTCAATTCCCTTTCAGGCAACCCAGATTTTTTGTAGCTTGGTCCTTAATGCCTGTGCCATCTTCTCACGTGGCTCTTTACTCCATTTATTACAATGTTGGTGTTCTCAGTGTCTCAAATTTTTCCAATAGCTGTTTTTGCCAAGAAAATAGAATGAAACCAGAAGGTTTTATTATCAGCCCAAGAGCAATCTATTGAGGTAACACTGCCTTTACAGACAGACATTTCTGCTTGGTCTGTCAGTCTCTTTCATTTCCCCGTCAGAAAATAAATGTCTGTGCTATAAAGAAAGGTTTAAAATGGGACAGTTGTGATTCTGGTCTCTTCGGAGTGGACTGTAATTGTGCTTCTATAAATAAAATATCAAAAGCTATTAATTCTGGAGAATCAGAAGTGCATGTTCATCTTTAAACAGATAAGCCACAATACCGCACTCTTTCAAAATCAGAATTAGGACTCAAGAGAGAGGAAAACTTTTTTTTTCTTTCAGAATCTCCCTTTCCCCCAGGCACAGCAGCACTCCTTGCATATTTTCCTTTGTCCAGCTTCTTTGCACAAGCAACAACACACATGGTCCAGCCACGAGCACAGAAAGCTGAGGAATAGCAAAGCTGAGAGTTGCTTTGAACTCTGGCACTGACTTGCTGTGTGAACCTGACCATGTTGCTTAAACTTTCTGTAATTCACTTTCTCTGCTTAATCTCCTTGGGAAAAGTGCATTTTTATGCAGCTGGTAAGAGCTATTAGCATTATTCACTTGTACTTTCATGTGTATTATATATTGAACACAGGTTCAATATTACCAGATAATTTGTTTTTGAAAAATTATGTTAAGAATATTAATTGACATAATTAGTTGACTATGAATGGTGCTTCACTATTCTAACAAGGAGAAGGCAGGAACAATCATTGCATCTGTTCAAATCGTGTCACTTTCTTGAAGTCTGTTCTCCAAATGATTTCTTGAAGAACCTACAACTTGTAAACTACCAACCAGTTTTACAGACAACCTGTTTCTAAAAGTGATTGTAAGTCTCCCTTCTGTTAATATGACTTCTGAGGCCTCATCTCAGTGCAAATTTCCTGGCCAAAATGGTGATAACGCATAACTGTGCTTTTCCTTTGCTGAAAACAAAAACAAAAAAAAAAAACAAAAAACAAAAAAAAACCAACCAACCAAACAAACAAACAAAAAAACCCCAAACAACAACAACAAAAAAAACCCAAACCAAACCAAAAATAAAAAAAAGAACAACAACAAAAACCCCGAGGTAAGATACCAGCCACATTAATAGTTGATTCATATAAAACGTACTTTCCAAAACAAATGAGACAAAACTGAATGTGTATATTTTTCACTGAAATTAGGATATTTCCCCAACAGAGAAATTTGGCATGTACATTTCTGAGTTATACTCAAAATATAGCTATCTGCAATATATACTTTTATAATTGTAATGTGTATTTTATGCCTTATATATAATAACGTAATAATACAGAGTATTAGGAAACACATCTGTACCAAATAATATGGATGAAGCTGGGAACACACAGTGTTTGCTAACAAATCCCATTATCAAGGCTACTGTCGGAAGACAAGCTCTTTGATAGCCCTCAGGAGAGGGAAGGGGTGGATACAAGAAAGAAAGGGAAGAAAAATGAAAAGTTAGTTTTCTGAAAGCTTCGCCGTTCCTGAATTTAGGGTTCCTATCACTACAGGACCACATTTGTATAAATTGGACTTCTCATAGGTAGTTGGCTTTGTCAGCGCTGATTTCTCGGAGGTGAGTCGTTGTCGTTTTGGATGTAAGATGGATGGCTAAGCCTTTGCCCAGCATCAGGAGGAGGTGTTGCAGCCCGAGCCGGGCGCACGGTGTGCCCTGGGCAGCGCAGCCCCTCTCTGCTGGGACGGGCTCTGGTGCGGAGCGGGCTGACCTCCTCTGCAAGTGCTGCTAATGAGGGTTTGAAAATGAGGTCAGGGATTTGGTTTTGCCCAGAAAAACATGCAGCTGGTAATGATGTGCGACTTCTCCTTTCTCCACGCTTATCATTAATTCAGGCTAATTCTGAAGAATAGGCTTATGATCTGGATGGTAAAAATTGTTATAATTGGATATTTAACTCCCTTTACAGTAGCTCAGAGGAGCTGAATGTTCTTGGACAAAAGCAGCAGAAAGTCTTAAAAATGTCTGTTGACATTCTTGAAGGCTGATGTCATAATGCAGATTTTTCTTAAAAAAAGGGTGATATGTGTGGGTGGCTACTGTACTAATTAACTCTTTTTGTCTGGCTCTGGGTAGTTAATGATTAACACTTGTATCCTACCACATGATAGTGGTCAGAATGGATTAGCTGAAATTGCTACTGTTACATTTCTAAATAAATGCAGATCATAATACCAAATAAACTGCAGCAACGGCCAAGCCAACCTTTAAGTATAACATTTAGAGAAGCTCAATATAAATAGTGATCCTGGGTTGTTAGTAAAAGGCTGTGAGTGTCCCTCTCTGTACAAGCAAATGCTGTTTCAGGGGGTTTCTTGCTTCTTGATTTTATTGATACTTGTTCTAAAAATAAGCCCTTCTATTCAGACCTGTATGAGACCTCAGATCCCCCCAGCACATATCCTATGACAAGCCCAGGGCTGATGGATTAATGTAAACTGTAAATGGAATTTTTAGAAGATGCATAAAAAATGCTACTGTATCCCCCAGACGGGCAGTGAATCAGTCCAATGAAGAGCCTAGAAGCCATCTTCGTGCAAGAACAGCTGAAGGAGTGTGGAACCCTGTCTGCTTTTGATGGCCTCCTCAAGAACGCTGTCTGTCCATCACGATGTCCAGCTTTCACCAGGACCTCAGTGCGTGATTTGGGGCAGATGTGCTGTGCAGAGCCACTGACAGTTATTTCAGACCACTATTCCTGAATGTTTCAAGAGGAATTAATGGTGGCAGCTCAGGATTTGTGTTGCTAAACACCAGGTTTCCACTCTTCCCCTCATGTTGGAACAGTGAATTGTGATACACTTTTTCCTTTTTTTTTAGCTTCCCTCTTCTGTTAGTATGTTATTGTGTACAACCCTCTGCTCTCTGGGGATGTCAGTGGTTTGGAGCTCCCCAAGTGCATTAGCCTTGCTGATTTTCCTTGAAGTCCACGGGCAATGCTGAGCAGAGTTGCGTGTAGGCAGACACCAAGAAGTAGCTGTGTTGCAAGATCAGGCCAAATATCTGTCTCAAGTCCAGAATAGAAACTATGACAGTTTACATTACATAATAACCCAGTTTCAATAAAAGTTGCAATTAATAACATTTTATGATGACAGAGATACTTATGTTTCTCCCCGCATAAATTCTCTGCTGTCTGTTAACTAGTCAGTTCAAGCTATGGGTGGTTCCTTACCCAGAGCATCAATAATCTGCCTTTCATAAAAATAAGAATGTGGGAAAGGAAATCAGCAGTAACTTTAAGTCTCTGCAGCGTCCATGTTCTCTGTCAAAACCCAATGAGCCAGGGCAACAGCAACAGAAGTTATTAGAAAAAACCTTCTCAGTATGGATATAAAAGCCTAATTAATTAACAAAACAGGCTAATTAGAGAATCAAACTGGGATTTGGCAACAACATCCCGAGCACTAATGGAATTAATCACATATGCACAATTAACTTGCCGTGAAGATTTTGGCCAATAGATTATGACTTTATAGTCTCCTTTGAACATCAGGAAAAGTTGCAGAAGATTTTGTGACCAGGTCATTGTTCCGATCAACTGACTGGCATCAATTAATTCAGGAGGCTCTATAAAGTAAGATCCACAGAGATTTCTGCAGTGACACCAGTGACAGTCACTGAACCAAGGTCAGCTTGTATGTCTTGAGGGAGCCTATTTACTTTCAGATTCTTCAACATTTCCTTGAAGTTATCTCAAATGCGATGGATCCATTTAAATGAGATTATGCATAAATACCCATTATAATTAATAAAGAAAGCAGTTGCAAGGACCATACATGTTCCTTTGCCCAGCCTCCAGCATGGCTCACACTGGGACCCATCAGTGCTGCCACAGCTACGTACACTGGGCATGCTGGTCTGAACTGATCATAGGAGACTGAAGCACATGTAGGTATAAGTTGCTGTAAATCTGGTGCAGAGAAAATTAACCTTTCATTATGGCTGTCTAGGTTTTCTGGACTAGATGACCCAGTCCTGTCTTCCACTAAGTGAATTTACTCTCCAGGCTACTGGAGGGAAGAAGGACTGTCCTTAACAACGTGTCTGCAGCCAGCTTGCCCTGTCCACTCCTCATTTCTCTTCCTTGATGTGCCCCTTAATGCTTGTGGTGGGCTGTAACAGGCTGGGACATTCCTCGTGCCTGTCAGAAAGGGTCCTTTTTTCTTCATTACTAGCTTCACCATGGATTGCTCCAGACGATTCAGCCCCTGGGAGCCCCCAGAGCAGGACAGAGCATTCAGCTGGGTGACGCAAGGGAAAGCCCAAGGGGATTCAGGTCCAGCCATCAAGATGAGGGTAGCAGCAGCTGGAATAGAAATAACTCTCATAATTCACATTCAAAGAATATAAACCTGGAGTTTCAACCAGCAAATTGCTTTCGCTTTGCAGAAGCAGAGCTTTTGTTAAAAGTCTATTTCCACACATTTAATGAGAGCCATATTTTTATAAGAGTCATGAAAATAAATTAGAAAACTTCAGCCTTTGTATGGTTGCTAGCCTTGACAGCATTTGCAGGCACTATCATCTTACAGTTTTTAAACTTCACATCTTTCTTCTTGGATGAAGTGGTTATGTTATGACATACAGTCCAAAAGAATACCAACCATACCACAGAAAGATGCCTTCTCTGTGAGAGTGAACAGTGTCACATACAGATCTTGTGGCTGCCTGGTTCACACTACAGACAACATCTCAACTCGAGCCATTTTTCTCGATGCTGTTTTGAAGAATCACTATTTCAAGGTGAAATCTGAGACTTAAAAATTTTGAGAAGGAGAGACGGGGGAGAAGGTATTTTTGAGTTTCACCACAATTGAAATGCCAGTGTTTGCAATGCCAACCCACGCAACTGTTGGCAATTTTAGAAATGCTACAGGAAGGATGCCAGCATAAGAAATACTGCCTTCCAAAAAGAACTCTCTTTTTCTGCACTATGCAACTGAACACTTGACTGTGGGCTATAAGTACCCTGGGTGGAAGTAGGTTTCCAACAGCAGAGGGCTCTTTTGACTCAGCAAAGGATGGAATTATCAGCTCTAGTAGCTGAAACTGACTGATAAAACAAATAAAAAGCAGAACAGAAATGAGCCGCAATTTTTAACGGTAAGGCTAAACTTTATTGGAACAACTTAACTGGTGACAGATGTGAT